AAAATTTGTGGCAGCTTGCGCACAGGTCTGCACTGGAACAGGACAACACAGTCAGAAGCAAATATTGAATATATTACAGATTTTGTTTCAATATTTTAATATATCAGTCAGCTCAAAAGACTATCTTAATGTTTTAAGAGGCACATTCCATATAATGGTGTATAGTCTGTGCCTGGGAAAATGGTGTATGCAACACACTTATTTTGCAAAAAAATGGACTACTTTCAATACAGACATTTCTAATGAAGACTTTGGTTACATTTTATAATCTTACAGGTCTTTCAAATGGTTACTTAAAACAAGTTACTCTAGGCCTCACTTTCTGAGTACCCATTACTGCTCAAGAAAGAGGTTACAGAGAGAGATACATTATTATTACAAGATAATAACACCCCAATCGACCACTTCTGCATAGCTGGTAAATATGCTTTGTTTCAGAAGCTTTATAATTAATTCCTTTAGTGCAAACCCCATATTTATCAAAAGCTAAAATACTAGCTTCTAAGAGGATTTTTTTTTTCAATTCAACAAAGCAGCATTTTTTATCATATCACACTTTTAAAAAGGATCTTTGTTGATTCTTGAAAATATCTTTATAGTATTAGTTGTGCATTGGCTACATTTTGAGTTCCTAACCTGTACAAAGTGTTGCTCATCTGTTTGATTGGAAAGGTGGATTTGATTACCTTTCAGGCAGGAGTCATCTTGAGTTCTCCAAAGGCATCTCCTTGCCTTACTGATTTGGGTTACAGAACAAATGTCTTTTCATCTGAAAACCCCCATACTTTTTCTCTGAGTCCTTGTGACATGATATTTAGTTTTGGTGCTAATTTTATTCAACTTTTATTTATGGATTTAAATGAAAACTACATTTTTATATCTATATTTAATAATTTGTACAGAGAAGCAGCACAAAATTTTCCTGAAAGTACAGATCCCTGTGAAAAATGACCTAGACCCTGTTAAAACATAGTGCCTCTGTGTCATTTAACAAACAAGTCTGTGGGATTAAGGAGACTTCCATTGGACAGATTAAAATTCACATATTACCAAAAAAGGCAATGGAATACAGAAATAAGTTTCTTAACTTGAGATAACAAGTAAGCAAATGATAATTTGAGAAGACACTCTGGCAACATCAACAGAATTTGGCAGTTGGGGTACACTTTAGCAAATCTTCAACTGAAGCGATGTTCCCATCATACCATATGGATCTCATAGCTGGAAATTCACCAGCAGTGCCAACAGATGTCAAAAAGCTTTCAAAGCAACAGAGTTAGAAAAGATTATATCTATTAACTTTAGTCTATGTATAAACATCCCAAAATTTCTCAGAGTTCATCAGCCTTCTCTCCTCTCCCTGCACTTGCCCTTAAGACCATGCAGATATTCTGAGGCTCACATGAAGAATGAAGCCTGGGTATTTTCCATTGCAGGGCAGCAAAATGAAGATGCAATATGCTAAATGAAATCCTCTCCAAATGAGAGTTCTTGGAACAGAAGAAAAAGAAGTGGATTTAGCAACACAAGAGAAAACCAATAAGCAGTTTTTGATTCTGTGGGAAAGACTGAATGGAACGAAGATGTTGCATAAATACTAATGTTAGGGGAATCTGAACTTTTCAACCTTTCCAACAAAACTTTCTGAAGAAGGGAGCATTCAGGCAGAGAAAAAAAAAAGCAGATTTCTCTCTTTTTGTATAACATCCAGAAACATTGCTCTTTGTTCTGTACAAATCTTCCCTCCTTCCCATGCCAGCAGACAAAAAACATTCTGACTAGTTCAGTGGCCTCAAATGAAAGGGAATGATTTGACACCAAGTGAGAGAAGATAGAAACAGTTCACATCCCCAATTTGTTCATTAAGATGTAGCTTGTTGGTTCACATTATGAGAAAACACAGGAAGTTTGCCTGAAATGTTATTAAGTATTTCTAAATACAATATTTCTATTTACTGCATAAGGTTTTAAGGGAATCTGTATTCATTCTACAGCAACATTGAAGCTTGTTTTGCATTCATTCATAAAAGAAGAAATTTTTAGTAAATTATGTGAACATAAAATACAACATTAGGACTTTAGAATAATCTAAAGTCATTAATTCTTGGCATTTCTCTTTAGCATGAAATAGATGCAAATTTAAAATTTACCTGTCATCGTAAAATACAACAAAGGAAATACCCATCCACACAGAAAATCAACACAGATGTCATTGCATTGCTTTTATTTTTCCCTTTTACTGACTGCTATCTTCTCAAGCAAATGAGATAAACACCAACATTATCAGGGGAATTTTTATTTAAAACAAACAGATCTTTTGTTAGCAGTCTTCTCTTTATGGGACACTTGAGGTTTAGGATTTGTCATTATTACAGAGTGGAAGACAACACTGTGAATAATTAGTCTTTCAGTATCAAAATCCACATCTTAGTCAAATAGCTTAAGTACTTTTCATTAAATAATTAATGATATAGAATGAAGCAATTGTGTTTGGTGTTTTTTCCCCCTTTTAAATACAATTTAGAAGATTCAGAAGATGACCATCAGAGAAGATTAAGGATCTACTGCTACATGAAGCATAATATCTAGTAACAATCTCTGAGTAAGAAGTTTACATATTGTTTACTGGGACACTTACTCTTCCTGGATACAAAAGACCATTGTCAGGGGATTCTAACTCCACATACACAACTTATGGCCTATTAGAGTGAAATGTTGTATTTTGTAGTTCCTTGTAAATTGAATTTGTCAAAAGGTACAAAGGAGAACTTGGTCCATTTTTATAGAAAAGCAATCGTGTTTTACAAAATGTTGAAGCAACCATCTATTTGATACGAAACATGTCAGTTTTATAAAAGGCAAGCTAGAGAACTAAAAGCACTTTTATAAAAGCACCTTTTAAAAAACTTATAAAAGATGATTTGGTAATGAAAAAAAACTAACAAACAGATGTGGCAGTGCTGCTTGTCCAAGAGCAATAAAATATGAAGAGAGCTAATTTTGCCTCTTCTCTCTGAGCCTTCTTTACAGGCAAAAAGCCAAACACCTAAGTTTCATCACCTGGCTAACTGATGAATTATGTCAACACTATTTAGTCAACAGGTTTCAGCACATGGACTGTACAGCCCTGAGAATCTGCGGACTAATTTTAAGAGATCTATAAAAAAAGCACAAAGAAAAACAAATTCATAGATACTGTACAACAACCAATGGAAGTAAAGTTTCTAAGTTGGTCCAAATCAACAGTGAAACGATACTAATATGCCAGGAACCAGAGTGGCTGAAAAATCACTGCTACTCGAACCTGAAGGATCACACAGGACTGTATACTTGATGCTTCTACATAGCATCCATTTCTGAAAATAACTACTAGTAATATAAATAAGTTAGCCTATGTTCTCCATTTCCTGATCTACTAAAGGAGAGCTGTAGTGCACTTCTTAAAGTATCTTTAACATGTTACCCAAATAAAATCACAGTCATATTGTCCAAAAGAACAAGACCTCAGATGCCAACAAATCATAAAATATCAGGGGAGTAAGCAATAACTCTCACTTAAAACAGACAGATTCCTTAAACCTTGAAGCTATTCAGGAAGATATTCAGCAACAGTCAAGACTAAGCAAAAATTTTTATACTTTTGCTAAGATCATACTTTCAGATATAAATATTTAAGCGTGTATATATCTGGTTTATATATATTATATATGTGTGTGTATATATAGATACACACATTTTAAAAGGTCTTCAGTCAAAATTCTAAGGGAGAGTTATGCAAAAGCAAGATAATTCTTACAGAACTCAGAAAACAATGTATCACTGAATCTTTACCATACATTGTATGGTAAGCATAGTGTAAGCATAGTGACTTCAAAGCCAGTGCAGCTATTTTACAGAATTTGAAAGATTATTTTTAGCTGTTCATGTTAAGTAGTCATTTTTAAGAGCCTACAAGAATTACACATTTATAATTTAATAATTAATATTTTACTGATATGAAGTATTAAATTAATTTCTCACACAGGATCACTATAAGCTTTCTTTAATTCTTAAAAAGAGGAAAATCAAGTACCTATGAGAGGCAGCTACTTTGACATAATTCTGTCATTTACAGGCAGGGCAGTGCATATCAGGCCTTTCAGTCAAGTGCATCAGATCACAAAAGATGCTGAATATCAGATCTTAAGTATACTCTTTTGGTAGAACATGCACTATGCAATACTGAAAGTGCTGTAATTTTCATAGGCAACACTAAGACTTTCAGAAATCTCCTAATTTTCTATTCAGAGAAAGACTCTCAGTTATCATATACCAAAACTCATTTATCATCTGACTTTCACAGAAATCCATTCTTCTACTGTATTTTCTAGTTGAGCTGTTATTAGTACAAAAAAGTACAATGGTATTCCTGACAGTAACAGATCAAATTCACACTTCACCTGAGGTTTTAAAATTTTGTTTATTGTGAGTCACAATTCTGCCTTTTTCTCTAAGAAGAAAGCCCCTAATTAACAACTCATTATAAGGTATTTCTGTAGTCAAGACTGTGCAAGAAAACCCAGAGTTGCAAAACTGGTGGAGGCTGGAGGAATGTTCTCCTCTCCAGGGTAGCCCTGTTCCTAAGTCATTGCTTTTAGCCACTGCGAAAGACTGCGTAACAATTTGATTGGTCTTCAGTCTAGATTGCATTTGTGGAATGATGCAGATATAAACAATGTATCTGCTAAGTAATTTCTCAGAAAAACGTGGATATAAAAACGAAAGGCAAAAATTGCAAAGGAACTAGCAGGTAGATATAATTTTGTGGAGATAATTAATGCTGGTATATTTAGACCACGATGTTAAACACAAATCTCTCTTTCACTTTTTTTGCTTTTGTTTTTACTGACAACCTGTTACTGCTTTGATTATCTCTAGGGAATTTCCTTCCCTAGAGATAGGAACACATGGTCCAGTCAGCAGGATTTTTACACAGGTGTTCAAAGTCCAGGAAGAAGTTCAACTTTTAGCTACATTTCTAGCATGTGTATGCCTGCACTTGACTTTATCTGCATTGACTTTTGCAGATCTTTCTTTTGAAGACTTGATCAGCCTGAACCTTCAGGTAAATATAGTATACATTTAAGTTCTTAACCATTCAAATATCTGACTGAAGGTCAAGCCTATTAGACTTGCTTCAGCTCACATCAATTATCCCTCCTATTGAAGGTGATGTAACTATGATTCCAGCTAATTAAGTCTGTAATGTTGAGATGGAGTGTTTAATAAGGCTCAACACAGAAGAATCAAGTTAACTCTGTCAATCTTCTTTGCTATAATGCATTTTGTTATATAAACAGTCCAGCAGCCTAAAATTTGTAGATTTGCGTTTGGGTGCCTTTTTCTGATAGATACAGGCGAATATGCTCCTCTTGTGGTAAAATACCCTTCAGTGGCATTGACCTAAATATATCCTAATATTGAAAAAGGTAAAGCTGATTTTACATTCTAGACATCATTTATCACCTGCAAATAGAAAACCAGAGAAATATCCTCCAAGCAGCATCTGGATAATAACTGTAAACAGAGAAGTATCTATCCAGTCATTCTTAGCAATCAGTGTTAATTTTCACTGTCTTTGAATAGCTATAGATAATCACATTCTTGTTAATTTACAGCTATGTTCTAATCCTTAATTTAAAACTCTACTGAGATTTTTATTTTAGTACCCGAACAATCAATCATTTGACAATGTGTGAAGTGGCAGAAGACTACTAGTAAACCTGAGACATAGGTTTTGTCCAAGGGTAAACATTCAAAGTGGAAAAGCAAGGAAAATTGCTAACTAAAGGGACAGCTGAGCAGTAGCCCATTGGTGGGTGGCTGGTCATAATTTCTCCTGTGCACATTGTCATGCAGTTCCCCTCCATCCTCCTGGTTTTCGGTTACACCATCTGAAAGGATATAGACTCTGCTATTTGGAAAAGTCAAGAACACTTTTTCTTCCTTTCAGGGGAGGATTAGGAAAATTCCTGTATTTTTTCTTTGTTTCAAAGCACAGGAATGAGCTAAGCCAACTTATTGAGGTAATTACATGCAGTCTCAGCTCTGCTTGAAATACATAATAGAGGTGAGTTGGACCACAACACTAATCTCTAACTTATACACCTGCCCAGAGTTTTAAAGTTGGACTACACTGTACTGTATGTTACGGTTAAAGCTTTTTGAAATTGAAATGGAGACAGTTTGAATTAGGAAACAAACTCAGAATAAAGCTCAATTTAATTTTCAGTGTAAACACAGAGATGGAAGTTTTGGTCTTTAGAGATGGAATTTCCATTAACAGTCATACACGGGACATTATCCTGGTGAAACCAACTCACCAAACTAATCTCTATGATGGTATCTAGCAATGAAGCATGATTCTGAACAACCAACTACACCTTTGTTATAAAAGCTTAATTGTTCTTGGGATTAGTCAAGATGATGTGTGTTTCATAGCTCTACTTTATCAGTTCTCTCTGTTCTGTGAATGAGCAGGGCAACTTTATCTTAACTAAAGAATTTAAAGCACAGCCTTGATTTCCCAAGCAGTGAGACTAGTTAATATGATAGCACCAACTGGTAAATAATATAGACTGCTAAAGTTATTATAATAGTATCTCAAATTCTGAGTGGAAAAAAAAAAATTGTCCTAAAACTCCTCCCTTATATACAAAATAGCGTATTTACAATTGTGAGTCTAATCCCCTCCTCCAGGCAAAAAACTTCTAAAATCATTAATATTGAAGTGTGAAATTCCATTGATATTTCAGCAGATAACTATTTTGAAAAACAAAATATTCTTGTCCTACTTCAGATGAGCTTCTAAGTTTTAACAAAAGCATTACGCCATTCTTGAAAGATGGGAGAGACACCACAAAGAACTGCAAGTCTATCATGTAAAAAGTATATAGATCCTTACAGAAGGATCCCTTATAAGGATCTGGTAAACCCTTGTTCACTTGAAATCTTGTTCATTCTGTAAATAAACATGTAATACAGGTCACAGCAGTGGAAATCAAAGGAACTGTGATGGTAGCAATGGGAAAATATGGACTTGGAGAGTAGGTCATGTGACTCAAGATTTGCATTATGTGGCAGCCTTTTTTTGAATTACTTTATCTTGTGCTGCAATACCTCTTTTTAAGAGGATAATATTTCAAGTTCCTGTAATTTAAAACAAGAATGAAAGCACACCAGCGATTTCTAGACATTTCTGTGATTTATCTAGTATACTACGTAAGTTCTTGCTCTGGGCATTCAAAATAACCACGATAAAGTCAGGATCAATATATATATTTTCATCTTTCATCTATATAAATATTAAGCTTCTGGTTTTATGCAGTGATCATGATCCCCAAAAGGATTATTTTTAGTCAACTACTAAGATATTTTTAAAAAATCAATAAGAAGACTGATATGTATCATAAAAGATCCATAAAAACATATATAAGATTTCACTCTTTCATTGGGATAGTAAATGTTAACTATTTCTCTCAGCAGAGCAAAGGACGTGCAAATTTAATTGAACGTATACTAAATATTCAATTCCTGTCGAAGAGAGGTGAAAGATAACATCAGCATTCATAAATCAGTGCCTGTACATCTCATCAATTAAAAAAACCCCAAGGATAAATAATACTTATTAGCCTCACACAGGTATTTTGAGACTACCTGGTTAACACTTACAGAATGTGTTAATAATTAATGCACTGTCACACATTCACTTACTATATATAATTACCACCCACATTAGAGAAGGTTTGCCCACTGGCAAAATAGAACTATTTCTATATATAATGGAATGTTATATGAAAGCAAGCAAATGCATAAACACCTATTTCATGTATGAAAACTCAAAATAACTCCAGTAAAGATCTGGATTGCAAGTCTCTGATTCCCCCTACTTAACACCATTTCATTTTAATCCACTTTTAAAGCACGTTCTACAAGAAAGGAAGCTCTTACTCCTGTGGGAGATAAGTGTAAGCGCAAAAAATGGAACAGATCCTGGAAACATTAAAATTAATGATGTCTGAGAAATCATTATGGTTATAAACCTTGAGCCTGACAGTTTTAATTCAAAGCTCACAAAAACTGAGAAATAGTTAAATAAAGTGAAGGACCAGATGGTCTCAGCCTTCAGGGAATTCACTCTAGACAGATAAATTGGGAAACAACAGTCAACAGTCAGAAACTAAAGATATTCTGAAGTGTTTTGAAGGGTCTGATTTCTGATGAAAAACTTGAGAAGATAATTATTCTAGAGAAAAGCCAAAAAACTAGAGTGTTCATGAAGATTGTTTTTCCAAGAGATTTTTCAACACTTAAATTTGAAAAAGGTTCACACTGCGTATCTCTATGCCCAAATACAGATCACTGAAATGAGTTATTTCTTAAGAACAGACATCAGTACTTATATTTGTAATAACAGACTTTTCCCCAAGTAGCTCCTTCTCACATACACTCGTAGACACATGTATATATATCCTATAACAAAAGTTTAAATTATTTTATAAATTATACTTTTTTTACTGCTTTCCCCTGTTTCATAAGACTGTCGGTAGACAAACACTTATTCAGTTTCCATTCCTTACATCCCTCATCTCTAGTAGTATCTACAAGTCTTCCTCTCTTAAAAGGAGATAAAATTACATTCCTTTTTTCTTCACCCTGCCCCTGCCTGACAAGTAAATATTTGCTGCCCTAAGATGCTGAGAAAAAAATCTTGCACGTGCATTGAAGTACATAGAAAAAAATGGTCCCCAAAATTTATAAATCGCTCATGGTGCTTGCAGATCTTCTCATGAATTTTGATAAAAGGGTCCAATTCTTTTTTCCTCAACGAATTTTAAGACAGAAGTTGGAATTTTAATATATTCAGGCAGATGAGTAATTGTTGGTTCCTTCTTCTCTTATCTCAGTACCTTTCTCAAAAACTGTTTATATGTTATGGCAAATGCTGAAGCAGTAAGTTTATTTCAAGCTTTTGAAAAGCCATGGAACTAACCTATATATGTGGAAGAAAGAGCAGCAGCAAAATTTACTGCTCTGCTACGTGCACACCATGTGAAAGTAGGTAGGGCATACTTTTATTTGTATTATGTAAATATTTCACATCAAACTTATGCCCACTATGACAGTAAAGAAATTATTTATATAAAAATTAAGATAAATACTAATGCTTTTTTTCTGTGAACAGACTTCAATTTTATTTGCATATCAACTACTCAGCCTTTTCAAAACTAACACTTCTGATGCATCATTTATCGGCTAACTACTGCAAGCATATTTTAAAGTTTCAACTCCTATTTTCTGTTATTGTATACTAATTTTCTATAAGTAGGCTTGAAAACAGCCATCTGACATCATGCAGCCCTAAGCCATGTACAGATGTATATGATTTCACAGTAACAGATCTGCTCATACCTGAGTCCACTGATTCTTCATACGGAAAGCTGGATATTTCTAGAGACAAACAGAAGTGATAAATATCTCACTTCTTATATAAGTGTAGGTATATAAAGAGCTCATTTACTTCCCTGATAAGAGGTAGTGATACTGAGGTCTTAGGAGAGTTTATATTTACTTCATAATACGATTTTATCCATCACTTGGCCTTAGTCATACTCAATCTCTTTGATTCTGATAAGGTCAACATGGAATACATCAGTCACACCAAGTAAATAATTATTTATTTCAGCCTTGTCTAAATTTGGTCTAGTGAACATTTTAGAAAAAGAAAAAAAGCTCTGAATACTTCTAACAAGAATAATGACAAAACAGACCTCTATTTTCCGCAGAAATAAGAAAAGCAGAAAGCCCCTACATTGCTCTTCATGCTAATATCAACAATGCAAAGGTGGGCACACCTCCCTTAATCAGTCCTTTCAAGGAAAGGACTCGTGGTTTATAATGCTGGTAATGACAGTCATTTCTCCCCACATATTACCCCATGGCCAGTAATTAGGAAAATAGAAGTTTTAACGTTTCTCTTTGGCTGATTTTCATGACTATCTAACAATTGGAAGTTACTAGCCTGATATGAACTAACATTTGTGAAAGTGGAAAAATAAGCAATTT